GGGGGGGGGGGGTTCAGCAAGAGCGAGAGGGTATAAGAGAGAGAAATAGAAGAGAGGGAGGGACAGTACAGGAGGAGGGAGGGGGAGAAGAGAGATGTGGATCCAGTGACCCGTAGAACGACAAAGCATTTCACCCTTTTTTCTCCCAGGAGATTTGTGTGTGAATCTGTGTGTGTAGGCATGCATTTGTGAACGTGTGTGTGTGAGTGCATGTACTGTATAAAACAAAGCTCCTCAAGACAACCACTAATTGGTTTTTCACTGTGTGCAAGCAAAGCTTACATTCATATGGCAGCAAATGCCATCAGAAGAATTACGGGCTTTTTATTAAATCAGTTAAAATCTCTAAACAGCCCATGTAGCATGAAGATACATGTGCAGTAGATTATTTTTATTTCAGGCACAGGAATTTCCTTTGCTACATGTCGTCCTCTCTCACCCCCATTTGCTGTCTCACTTGAGCTGTCCTATTGAACAACCATGTAAAAAAAACCAAAAACAATAAAAGCTGTAGATTCATGTTTATCCAAAAGGATGCACAGGAAAGACGATGTTTAAAAATCTACCATTTGATTTAAGTAACAATGGAAACAACAGGCTCCTGCGACTGCTGCAGTGCTGATGCTTGTAAGATGAGACATGACTATGATGGATTCATGCACAACTACTCTGCTGCTGGAGATTCCTACTTGCTCCCTTGGCAAAACATGTATTAGCTTTTTGTGTGTGTGATTGTTTTTATAATACATCCTTCAAATCCATCAGCCACATCAGTTTCATAATGCATGCTGTGCATCTATTCATATGTGTGTGTATGTACTGTTACCCTCTTATTTTGTCCTCTCGCCCTGACTGGTTTAATCTATGGCACAATTCAAGCATGGTAGACACACACACACACACTCACAAGCCACCTAATTGGTAGCATTTAATGCCAAGTGGCCTGGGATTTGGCCAAGTGGATCTATTCCAATCTAACCCTAAAGTGAAGGGCACTTGTTTTCCATTCATCTACTCCATCTCTCTATCCATCAGCTCTTCCTCTGTCACCCCCATCCTTTTATTTGCCACCCTTTTCTCCATTACCTTCATTCATTCCTCCACTCCTCAATCCCTCACTCCCCTTCTATTCTTTCCATTTTAAGTCACTCTCACTTTATAATCATCCCTTCATCTTGCCTTCTATTTCATTCCCTTTCTTCCTCATTATTTTTATCCTTTCATCCTTTGCTGTCTCCATTTTGCCCTCCATATATCCACCCATCCATCCCACCATCTATTCAGCCTTCCTTACATGTATTGATCCCTTCATCCATCCTTGCCTCTCAGCCCCTCCATGTGTCTCTCTCTTGTTAAAAAGCTGCAGAGGTCACAAATAGTCCAGCAGCCACTAACATGCTGATGCTTTGTTTTCCACTTTCTTCCATACAACTACAAACACTTTCACTTGACACGTACATACAAAGACTAACTTGAAACACACACACACAGAGCTGATTTATGACTGGTGTCTCTGGGCTTTGTTGTTGGCTCAGAACCTAATTGCATTCTATTTAACAGACCATCAGTGGAAGGGTATTTTGGCAGAGACAGAGAGTGATGGTGTGTGTGTTTGAGAGCGTGAGTGTGTCGTGGGGGTCAGTAGTTGGCATGGACAGGAGACTGGCTTTACTGACACTATCTATCGACGTGTACATATACCCTCCAATTTACACACTTGCAGCTTCCTATTAAGACACCATCTTACATGTTACACTGCGATAGCACACACAAGCCTGAACAATTAAATATTTGTACATTGCTGTGCTCAACATGGCCAAATGATACTTATCTCATGTGTATTGTAACGTACATATCACATAATGGTCTGTGCTACTGTAGATGAGCTGGTCACTAATCTGAGTATGTCAAAATACTGTGCCATACACCCTTTCTCCAATGTGCTAAACAATTTCTAATAAAATATAATTTCACAACACCATTTTAGAAATGAATTTTTGTGAGCTGTCAGTATCTTTATAAATAAAAATACTGAATAAGTAGAATAGTTAAATTGACTTTCTTTTGCTGACTTTCCCTCCCAGTAAACAGCCACATGAAGAGCTAAAGGGCTGTCAAAATAAAAGACGACCACTCTCAATTACTGTTAAATGTCCTGATGTGATCAGGCAGTTGATATGGTAATTTGTTTAGGCCACCTATTTAAATCACCAATCAGCCATTATTGCTGTCTAATTGGTGGCCAATTATCATTTGATGGAATACTTTTTAGAGAAAAGAAAAGAGAGGTAGCAAGAAGTAAACAGAGGAAGAAAGAGACAGCATTCCCCGTCTTACAGCCATCCTCTATCCAAAATAACAATGCCTTCCCAATTCACCAATTCACTGGGGACCTATTCATTTACTCTGCTACCTCCAGCAACACACACACACACAC